ACGCCTGCGCTGGCGTCGGGATGCTTGGCCGCTGCAGCCTGAGCTGCAGCTGCGAGTGAGCCTGTTGGAGGGCGGTAGCCTAGAGCTCGATGCTCCTCAGACATGAGCTTGCGAGCCTCCGCTATAGAGGAGTCCTTAGAGTGAGTATCTGCCTGTCACCATTTGATGAGATCCTTACCTTGACCGACATTGTTGACATCGAGGTTCGTTGTACTACCATTTCCGGGAGCGATATGTGTAGCGTCTTCCAGAGCAGCTTTGGCTAGTATCGTGTTGTCGATACCTCCGGAAGCGTCAGGATGCTTAGCGGCAGCAGCCTGGGCTTCTGCGGCGAGTGAGCCCGGCGGAGGGCGATAACCAAGCGCCTTGTGCTCGTCCGACATGAGCTTCCGCGCTTCAGCTATATGACACAAGTCGATAAGTTAGCTACAGGATCGAGGAATACTGCTATGAGATAGTCTGCGCACCCTCTCCCACGGCGTTGAGGTCGACGGCACTGGCAGCACTGCCTGCATTCGTAGTACCTCCGTTTCCTTCCCCATTACCACGCTGCTGCTTGATACGCTCCGCATCTGCGAGAGCCGCCTGGCGAATCTGCTCTTGGTCCAATGTGAGCGCGTGCTCATCCGCACGGTGGCTCTCGTGACGCGCGATGGCGGCTTGCGCTTGGGAAGCAAGTGAGCCCGGAGGTGGACGGTAGCCAAGAGCCTTGTGCTCTTCGGACATGATCCTGCGGGCATCGGCTGAAGAAGTTGTATGTCAGCTACGAGTGAAGTAACGCGTTTGAGGAGAGCGACTGTACCCTCAGAGATGTCCTTCAGGTTCAGCGGGCTGGCACCAGAGAGGGAGGTTTGGAAGGCGTTCATGGGCATAGTGAAGACAGAGTATGAGCTGGTGAGGTGTCGTAGGGGTTTGTCGTAAGTTGCAAGGGTGTGTCGATTCCTACTGGGGCCCGTCACTGCAAGTTGCTCGGGTTTATATATGACGGGCCCGACTCCCCTCCCTTGTCCCCAGACATATCACATTGACGTCAAACCTCCACCGAGGGAAAACATCTCCCCAGCGCCAGTTGCCACCCCTTCACCGCGAGCCGTCGAACAAACGACGGGCATCAAGCAGAGTTGGAGAGTTATTTGGAGACGGCTGTGGTGCAGAATGAAGCTGGTGAAGGATGCGCCATCCAAATCTGGATGCGGGGTGTTGGTGAGCCACGTGGGATTTCCGTCCCGATCGGGAAGGGAAATTCTTTGGTCTGCATGCAGCATGTCCCTTTACTGAACGCCTGCCATAATTCTCTCTGCTCATACCCGTGCTCTCCCCTCTTATCTTTGCTCTAGGCCCCGGACCGACCTGAAATGCCTCGGGCAACATCAGATCGTTTTACACGGGCACACCAGCCGTCTGCCAAGTCAAAAGCCTCATCCGAGGCATCTGGATCGTCTACGGGAGCGCGGAATCCTATCTTCAATACCGAGCGGTTCGGTCAGCATATTCTCAAGAACCCTCAGACGGCCCAATCGTGCGTTTATGCTGCCACTATTAGTAGATAGGTGTTGACTGAGCTGTTGTAGAATAGTAGATGCTGTGCGTACCTCTGAGGCAGCAGTTTCCCAACGTGCTACACGAAGATAACTGAAGTGTGCGTGAACAGGCAAACTTGCGCCCCACAGACAAAGTGCTTGAAGTTGGTCCTGGTACGGGTAACCTGACAGTGCGCATTCTCGAGAAAGCGAAGCATGTCACCGCGGTGGAGATGGATCCTCGGATGGCGGCCGAATTGACCAAGCGTGTGCAGGGCAAGTGCGTGCTTCCCCCCAATTTCACCCTCTCACAGCCCCTCCTCTCACACCTTTTCCATCAGGCCCGAACAGCGCAAACTCGAAATTATGATTGGTGACTTTGTGAAGGCCGACCTGCCCTACTTCGACGTCTGCATCTCCAACACACCCTACCAAATATCTTCCCCGCTCGTCTTCCGCCTGCTCTCGCACCGGCCACTCTTCCGGGTCGCGATCCTCATGTTCCAGCGTGAGTTCGCAACACGGCTTGTTGCGACGCCCGGCTCCGCGCTCTGGTCGCGCCTGTCCGCGAACGTGCAGCTGTACTCCAAAGTCGACCTCATCATGCACGTAAACAAGAACAACTTCCGCCCGCCGCCCAAGGTCGAGAGCAGCGTCGTGCGTATCGTGCCCCGCGACCCTCCACCACCCGTCGAGTTTGCCGAGTTCGACGGCTTGGGCCGGATCGTCTTTGGAAGGCGGAACAAGACCGTGCACGCCAACTTCCAGGCAAAGGGTGTAATGGAAATGTTGGAGAGCAACTGGAAGACGTGGGCTTCTGTGAACAATGTGGTGCGTGCTCGCTTGGTTGGTGGTGCATGTCGCATAGCGGACTGATCAACTCCATAGATGATCGAGGATGGCGTAGATTTCAAGAAAAAGGTGGAGCAAGTGCTCGAGGAGACAGGCTTCGCTGAATCGCGAGCCGCGAAAATGGACATCAACGATCTACTCAAGTGAGTGCCCGCCAGTTATTCCACGCGACCGCAAGCTAACCTTGTCTCGCAGACTGCTGTCCGCCTTCCACGACGCAGGCATCCACTTTGCATGAACGGGCTTTTGTTTAGGACTCCTGTACGCTAACCGTTGGGCTGTTTGTTGTAATTTATATCTTCTTTGCGAACCATCATGATTCCGAGTCCAGGGAAATCCATTGATGTCGGGAACTATGTTACAGTGGTCGTGTGTAGGTCATACAGTCAGAGTGTTGAGGCCCTCCGGACATTGCGCTACCGGGAATGTGCCTACATAGGCCTCCATGCTCACCGGACGGTATATCCACACCTCTCCCTCCTCGAATTGCGCCAAGTCGTAGCTTTCCCTCTTCGGCGGCGACGTCACACCCTGCTCGACCACCACCAGCGTGCCCAACTCCCGTGGGGCAACAGATATCCCATCCGCGACCGCTGTCCGCGGCACGGCATCGCTCACGATCACCGCCGTATGGTCTGGGTTGCCTAGCGTCGAAGACGCATACGGGCCTCGGGACACTTTCGCCAGCCTCCACTCGAGGATATCTCCCCTACGAACACGGTCGTCGCCTCCGCGCCAGCGCCCGACCTGCGTGCGCCCCTTGTCGCTCGCCCGCCCTTCAAAGATGAGGTGCCCGTGCGTGCGCGAGATGCTCGGCACCGGTCGCGGGACCCAGTCGTACTGATCAAAACTCTTCAACGCCTCGTTCGCGAGGTCCCAGCACTCGCCACGCGCGCAGAACTGGCCGGTGCCCGCGAAGCTCTCCGCGAACCCAGCGACTGTCTCGCCGTACGTCTCGTGTGCCTCGACGAGCCGTGCGCGATCCCATGGCTGTGGGCGCGGGAGGTACCGCGCGCTCCGTTGAACGGTCCGCGCGTCGTTGGGGTCGTGTGAGGGCGGAAGAGGTTGCGGGAAGGTGAGTGTGTAGAAGCACATGCTGAGGTCGGCGAAGAGCACGCCGACAGAGATCGTCTTGCTGCGCCCGTTGGAAGACCAGGCGCCTTTCCAGTTCAGCTGGCCGTTTCCGCGCAGAGGCGGTGCGAGGATGTCGTCCCCGCTGTACCATGCAGACGGCCAGTGGGTGGAAGGGGAAAAGTAATGTGCAAGGTCTTCTGCGAGCGAGCCGCTTTCAGGATGAGGGGGATAGGATGTGATGTACTCTGTCGATCATCAATACGGGGAGAAAGTATAAGGTATTCCGTGCACATACCAGATATTGTAGTACGAGACTGATGCGATGCTGCAGCCGGTCGGGAGGTCATCCGGGCCACGGGCTGCACAGACACAACCCAGTTGGATGTACGACGTTGAGGTGCTCAGAGATTGCGACTTACTGAAGGTGGTTGTCCAGCCACCGGTGCCTTCGAAGGCTCCGCACAGCTGCCCACAGAAACGCCCAGATACCGCGAGAAGAACTCGTCCAGCCAGCCAAAGAACGCCTCTTTGTCCTCCGGAGACAAGTTGGCCCAGTCGATCCGGTCGACGTCAGCCACTTCCTCTTGCAACTTTCTGACAGGCGGGACGGGCACATGAGCTCGAGGCGCGGGAGCAACCAGGTCCGGACGTGTTTCTCGACGTATGGGAGGTGGTGGTCCTGGTTGCAAGCCACCAGGTGCAGGTGGGGGAGGGCTGGGTGAGCTGGTGGCTGTGCTGTTCAATGACCTCGGTGGTGGCCGGAGAGGGGGAGTTGCCGTCGAAGTAGTGGTAAAGGCGTTGGTTGCTCGGGGCGGTGGACGAGGCGGAGGACTCGGATTCACACCGGGAGACTGTGCGAGCGTGGACGAGGCCGATGAACCGCCTCTTCGCAGAGGAACGGGTGGTACAGCAGGTTTATTCTGGGTACTCGCATTGCTAGCACTGCTTGCAGCCGACGACGTCCTCGATGGCGGCGGGAGCGGCTTGAAGGCTGGCTTGGGCGGTGGTGGTGGCTTAGGCTTAATCTCCGCATTCCAGTTGATGTTTTTGCCGGGCTGGCTGGTCATGCGGTCCTTGGTGTTGGAGAGGGTGCTAATGCTGGCATCCTTCACCTTCACCGCCTTACTTCGTAGCTCTGAAGACATAGTGGTGGTGTCACACCATCGTCAGGATTTGGCTGCGTGTGGAAATGCTTACCTGCAAGCGTTGGCATCCTGAGATGATGCTGGTCTGATAGAACCTTGACTGCGCGTTCGTGGTAATGGAGCTACAGTATTAGACGACTGTACGCTGACCTCTGGCTATCAAGTATCAGCTCAAGTACAAGCCTCAAAATCCTGTCGAGTAGTTGTTCCAGGTGTTATATCCGTGCTGACAGTCAAGACACAGGCGAGGACCCAAAACATAGCACTCAGTACGAGCGCTCCATGGCCATATCCGGGGACGTTCGGGGATCACCGAGGCACGTGGCACGTCATGCGGAAGGCTGTGCTGCACAAATTAGGCAGGTTGTCGTTCCTGGCTGTATGGCCATTTCCTCCTCCAAAACATATCGGCCGCCTGGCGAAATGGCATCGCGTCTGACTACGAAAACGTCCCCTGAGATGTTGATGGATCAGGAGATTGCAGGTTCGACCCCTGCGGTGGTCATTTTTGGGCTCTCTGCCGTCCTTTTGAGCCCAGAAATCAAATAGCGCACCGTAGAATGTCGGAAGAGGCCTCCCTGGGCTTGCAACAAGTCTACTGACAGGTACGGAAAAATAGACAACACACAAGGGGGAAGGAGATGGAAATGGACGGTTTATGATGCATTGTGACGGTAGGGTGGTACTACATGTATACTACAACTTCTCATACGCCCACTAATCATTTCTTCTTGCTCGCTGTCTTATCCACGCTCTCTATCCATTTCTTCGGAACGCCTCGAGCCGCAAGCAAGTCCGTTACGCCCTTGATCTGCTTGCCTTGTACCATGACCTCGAGCGAGTTCGGTTTGCCATGAACAGGCGTGACTAGGCAGCCACATCCTCGCGTCAGGCTAGCACATATCGGAGATAAGAGGCATGCTTACCGGATGTGGAGCTCGCGCACATCTTCCGGAGCTCTTCTGCGAGCTCTTCAGCTTGCAAGCCATACGGTTCGAATCCGGTGATGAGTGTGCAGGCTTTGCGGCCTTGCCGTATCTTCACAACGACCGAGATGGGCTTCAGTTCACCCTTCCTGAACGTGACGAGTCAGCCCAGTTGGCGAATCAAGGATCGGCGGAATGCAGCAAGCGTACTTTCGGACAAGATCCCGGCCCTCAGCGCGAATCTCGTGCCATGTCTGCATGTGCGCGCGAATGCGCTTGAGCACGTCATCCCGCTTCATGAACTCTGGAGTCTCCTCGCCCTTGACGGATACGGCCCTAGCCAGGGCATCGTCCGAGCCGACATTGATGTACTGCTGGTCATTGGCGTTGATGAGGTTGCGGGAGGAGACGTATTCGTTGACTATGTTCCTGATGTCGGTGATGGTATACAGGTCAGAAGTGCTGCGACGACAAGAGTTAGCGAATCTATCCAAGGGATCGCGAAGAATGCCCAGCGTACTCTTTGCTTGCTGCGACGAACAGCGGGACGGTGGTGTCGAACGGCTTCCAGAGTTCAGACACCTGGATCTCGCCCTTGCGCTTCTCTTCGGCTTCGCGTTCTTTTTGCTCCCTGTCTTCGGCTTTCTTCGCTTTGGCCTCGATATCCCCAATCGTGCGATGCGATTGTCGGGAGATCACGTCGGGATGTTTAGGATATACCGCTGTCGATAGTTGCGTTGGTTGATTCACCTTCGTCTGAATTTGCTGCCATACTCACCTGTCACCATAACATCGCTCTTGCTCTCCTTGAGTTTGATGAGACCCTCCTTCGCGGATGCTTTCAGGAAAGCCTTAACATTCTTGAACGTAGAATGTTTCACATCGATCGCGCTAGGGTCTGTGGAGGTCGACGTATGTCACAATGTTGTGCTCAAGAAAGAGTAGAATGATGGCTTACCAGGTAGGCCATACATGTCCAACGCGTACGCTGGTCGAGCCGGTAGAACATATGTACTCCAGAACACCGATGCTGACATGGGGAAAGACGAAGGGGGTAGAGACGAAAGTGTGGTACCGATTGCTTGGATCAGAGCGGCTCGAAGGAGAGACGAGATGTCTGCCAAAGATATTAGGCTCGGCATGCGTTTAGACTGCTCACAACCCACCTTCGGGAGTCAACTTAGCAGAAGACAAGCTTCCATCTCCTACGCCATTTGCATCTGTCGTAGTCCCCGAGTTGGCTTCAGCTGCTGCAGACTCGGCATCCTGACGGACAGGCTCGCCGTTGGCTTCAGGCGGCGCATCCCCTGAGTCTACGTGGCCGTCTCCTTCTGGCGAGTCCTCGCTGTCTCCTTCCTCAGCTTCTGTTGCCGTATTGAACTCTCTCGGTGCAGGGACATCCGCCTTCTTGCTCGTGCCCATCTCCCAGAGGGCGTCTTTCCATGTATGCAGCACATACACGGCCTTGCCTTTCACGTCCGTCTCTTCCGCTGAGCGCAAGGTATCGGAGGAGACTGCCATACGGCCAACCGCTAGCGGAGGTCCTATAGCGCCGCGGTGGTACTGCGTCACTGCTACGAGCTGATCCGGAGCAAGATTTGGCGAATGTTGGACAACTGGCTTGTGATGAGATCGCGTAGTGCTACTTAGCGACAAGCCTTAGGGAACGAGCCTCGAGCGTACCTCCCGGTATCATGAGATCGGCACCATTGATCAATTTGGGCACGACTGGCGCAGGCGTAGAGAGAAACGGTAGAAGATCAGGTCGCTTCCACAGCGTGTACACTTAACACATGGAGTTAGGGTCCATGGTACTACGTTTAGACACGACCTGATGTCCATACCGGTAGGGATCAACTCCTCGGATCCTTTGCCAATCGTGAACCACAAAGGGTCCCCTTCCGGAGACAAATAGGCTACCTGACCAAAGGTTAGGAGAACAATAGTCGTCATATGAAATATGGACACATACACCGGGATCCTCCAGATGTGTGCTGAATTTCTGGGACTGTAGTCCGTCTGGGACGAACAAGTCCCCTTCTTCAGGTTGTATCATCGGATAGGCCTGCAGCACGCGCTGCTTGAGCTTTCTACGATCAGAGCTCCGTAGAGGAGCTACATCACGACGGTAATAATGTGAGTTTAGTACACTCGTCAGGATGGTATACATACTCACCTGATGTCTTCAGATCCGCGAGTGCTTTCTTGAACATGATGCCTACACCCTGGATGTGACGATCAGGCACAAAGTATAGTATACTATCGGTAGAGCTCTGCCGGCCAGAGACGTCGCTTGACCTGGCGAAATTTGTGGTTCCAATGTAGAGAGCAGCACTAAACCCCCGGCGCTATGTCAGCGTCACCTGTGAGTAGAAACCTATTGATCAAACCGGTCAGGCCGCCGTCTTCCACAAACCGTCGTTCTACTCCGGTTACTTCACTGACACACCTGCAGAGCCCGAAACTTGGTCGCTGCGCCGCCGTCACGATGCAATACTAGATCACAGTGTATGCTCAAAGGCACTCCGCGAACTTGCCGCAATGAGGCCTACAGGTTACCGCAGTGTCAAGGTATTCGTGGGAAAGGCGGAGTTTGAATGAAACCACTTCAAGTAATAGCCTCGCGATCGGGTAAGAATTCTTGTATGTAGTGAGTACTGATGGCCCAATCTCACGACATGCCAGCACTGGGCCACTGGCTGGAATCCATCCTGCCTGTGCGCTGATGCAGAGGATTTCATCTCAGGGAATAGAGTGTCCAGCATGCCCAACTGCCGGGCCATCGGAGGTCTAACTTAGTCAGAATGATTGGCGGCTAGCATGGCATGCGACGCACACCTTTGCCTGTTCTCACCAATTGGCGACATCGCAGCTGCCAGGACGCTGACTACTTACCATACTGCGCATTGTTCGAAGTCAAGCAACAGGACTCTGCGAGGCTCGAGCAGTGCAGCTTGACTTCATGCTCTGATCACCTCTGCAGTACTGACCATCCCGGCTGGCGAAGCCTTCAAATCCGCAGTTCCGCAGATAAGCCGCTAGCTACTAACTGAACTCGAATCGTTTGTAGGGAAGTTTGAGGATCAGAGGACTCGGAATACCGTTGTGTGGTGCACAATTTGCCTACTGTGGACGGACCAGCAGACAAAGCAATTGGCACAATGTAAGCTCGGGGAGTTGGTAATGATGTGCATACTAAATGGCTTGCTCACAATCTCGTTCGAACAGCGGTACCAGCTCTACACGCAGTCCCCAATGACCGCACAACCCACGAGTTCGTCGACACAGACAGCTCTATATAACTACGATATCCTCGCGTACATCTTCAATGCCTTTGAGTCTCGGACCAGAGGCTCCGGCCGTACAGCACTGGCCGCTTGTACGCTCGTCTGTCAAACATGGACCGAACCAGCGTCACGAGTGCTCTGGAGGAAGCTCGACTCCCTTCATCCTCTCTGGGCGCTGTTGGCGGGGCGATATTTTCCGCCTTCCGCCAAACGGCTTACTGAGTTCTGGACGGTGGGTCGCGTGCAACTTCGCGTACGCATATCACATACTAAGCTGGTGTTACGACATGCACAGATCGTAGAGCCAGAAGAGTTCGTTAAAGAGATAGTCGTGAAGGAACCTGGCTTATGGAAGCGCTTTCTCAAACAAGCGTCGCATATCCGCGAGATTGGGACAGCGTCGTACGGCGAAGCCGAGCTCGCGCTCATCCGCTCCATTGTCCATCATAACGGGGGAGTGACATTCCTGCCTTCCCTAAACATACTCGCGTGGCGCCATGCTATCACCACGGACATGACACTTCTCATGGTCGCCTCGCCCTCTCTGCGGAGTCTTGAACTCTCTACTGCGCGATCTATACCCAGGCCTAACGCGATCATGTCCACGCCCCCGAACGATTACACGCCCTCCGAGCCTCTCTTCGCCGGACTCCCAGCAGCGGCGCCGTACCTCCGCCGACTCGTCATCTCTGGACGGCAGCTCCCCAGTACCATCGTATACCCACACGTCGTCGGCTTCACTCGTCTGCGCGAGCTGTACCTCTACAACGACCTCTGCACCGTCAGGCCTGCGGACCTGTATCTCATCCTCAAGGCGCTGCCCGACCTCGAGCTGCTCTCCATGCAAGTCAAGGACTTCTCCAACCCTCCACGCGCCGCCTCGTCCACCTCCCTCCGTGAACTGCGCGTGAACGGCACGCCCGCAGACCTCGCGGGGCTGCTCTCGCCCTCCGGTATCGACGCCCCCTTCCTGACCAGCCTCTCGCTCAACATCGGCGGCGAGGCCTACACCGCGAGCCACCAGCACTGCCTCGAGGCGCTCGCCCTCGCGAACTTCGCCCCGACGCTCCGCACGCTCGTCCTCGCGACCGTCGTGTGCGACTGGCCGATCCCCGCGGACGCCTCCTTCGAGCACTACACGACGCTCATCGGGCCGCTCATGCGCCTCGCGCAGCTCGAGGACGTCGAGCTGCGCGTCCTCGACACGTGGCTGAACCTCGCGGACGAGGACGTGCTCGCCGTCGCGCGCGCGTGGCGCCGCCTGCGGCGGCTCGTCCTCTCGTACATCCCGA